AAACCTGTACCTTAAAGGACACTTTTCCATTTTCACACTACTATAAAGAACTACTGAGTAATTTATAAAGAAAATAGGTTTAATGGACTCACAGTTCCGCATGGCTGGGCAGGCCTCAGGAAACCACAATCATGGCAAAAGGTAAAGGAGAAGCAAGCACCTTCTTTACAAGGTGGCAGGAGAAGCGGAGTAGGAGTGTCATACTTTAAAACCATCAGCTCTCATGAGAACTCACTATCACCAGAACAGCATGGAGGAAACCATCCCCATGATCCAATCACATCCCACCAGGTCCCTTCCTCAACACGTGGGGATTACAATTTGAGATGACATTTGGGTGGGGACACAGAGCCAAACCGTATCAGATACCATCAAGATAATTAAAATTCACAGAATGAGAGAAAAATTTTGCAAATTATGTTTCTGATAATGTACTCATATGTTGAAAATATAAGGAATTCTTACATTATGTGATGGTTAATATTAGGTGTCAACTTAACTAGACTGAGGGACACCTGGATGGCCAATGAAGCACTGTTCCCAGGTGTGTCTGTGAGGATGCTGCTGGAGGAGATTGATAATTGAGTCAGTGGACTGGGAGAGGAACACCTACCTCAGTGTGGGTGGGCACCGTTCAGTTGGCTGCCGGCAAGGCTAGAATACAGCAGGTGGATGAAGGGAGATAAGCAGTGTGCTTGCTGAGTCTGCTCCCTCTTTCTTCCTGTGCTGTGCAGAATGCCTGACTTCCTCTTCTCCTGCCCTTGGACACCAGACTCCAGGTTTTTCCACATTTGGACTCTGGGACTTGCACCAGTGGCCTCCCAGGGGCTCTCAGACCTTTGGCCTCAGATTGAGGGGAGCACTGTCAGTGTCCCTGGTGTTGAGGCTTTTAAACTTGGACTGAGCCATGCTACCAGGACTTTTCTCCTTCCCCAGCTTGCAGATGGCCTATCATGGGACTCTGCTTTCCAACTGTGTGAGCCAATTCTGTGTAACTGTGATAGTTAATACTGAGTGTCAACTTGTTGAAGAATGCAAACTATTGGTCCTGGGTGTGTCTGTGAGGGTGTTGCCAAAGGAGATTAACATTTGAGTTAGGGGGCTGGGGAAGGCAGACCCTGAATCTGGTGGGCACAATTTAATCAGCTGCCAGCAAATATAAAGCAGACAAAGAAACGTGAAAAGGTGAAACTGGCCTAGCCTCCCAGCCTACATCTTTCTCTCATGTTGCATGCTTCCTGCCCTCAAACATCAGATTCCAGGTTCTTCACTTTTGAGACTCGGACAGGCTCTCCTTGCTCCTCAGGCTTCAGACATCCTACTGTGAAACCTTGTGATCGTGTAAGTTAATACTTAATAAAATCATACATATATATATATACATATATACACACACACACACACACACATACATATACACATATATACATAGATAGATAGATAGATAGATAGATAGATAGATAGATAGATATAGATATCCTATTAGTTCTACTCCTCTAGGGAACCTTGACTAAGACACTAATAAATTCCCTCTTATATCCATATATATTCTATTGGTTCCGTCCCTCTGGAGAACCCTCACTAATACAGATTTCAGTGATTAAAAAAAAAAAAAATCCGGGGAAGATCCAAGATGGCCATTTAGGAACAGCTCAGGATTGCAGCTCCCAGTGAAAGTGCAGAGGATGAGTGGGTGCCACATTTCCAGACGGATTTTTTTTTTTTTTTTTTTTTTTTGAGACACGAGTTTCATTCCTTACCCAGACTGGAGTACAATGGCGCGATCTCGGCAATCTCTGCCTCCTGGGTTCAGGCAATTCTCCTGCTTCAGTCTCCTGAGTAGCTGGGATTACAGGCACGCGCCACCATGCCCAGCTAATTTTTTGTATTTTTAGTAGAGATAGGGTTTCGCCATGTTGACCAGGATGGTCTCGATCTCTCGACTTCGTGTTCCACCCGCCTCGGCCTCCCAAAGTGCTGGGATTACAGGCATGAGCCACCGCCAGATGGATTTTTATTGCCCACAGACCAGGAGATTCCCAGGTGGAGGAGCCCCACAGGTCGCCAGCGCGGCTGTTTTGACCAACGGGGCTGTTTTGCTTGGTGTGGCTGCTTTGGCCTGCGCAGCAGTTTTGCGGGCAACCCGGAACAGCGGTTCTCCATACAAAATACACTGGTCTGGGTGCCCTATTAGTTGGCGATTGGAGCCCCGGGAAGGCACAGTTGCCCATTCAGCTGACTAAAAAGGGGATTGAAACAGGGAGCCAGGCCAGGAAATTCCTGTGCAAAAAAAAAAAGCGCAACGAATCTCAGCACCGCTGTTTCAGCCGGCACAATGAGTTAAAAAAAGGCTGGCCGGGCACGGTGGCTCACGCCTATATTCCCAGCACTTTCGGAGGCCGAGGCGGGTGGATCATGAGGTCAAGAGATCGGGACCATCCTGGTCAACATGGTGAAACCCCATCTCTACTAAAAAAAAATACAAAAATTAGCTAGGCATGGTGGCACACACCTGTAGTCCCAGCTACTCGGGAGGCTGAGGCAGGAGAATTGCATGAACTCAGGAGGCGGAGGTTGTAGTGAGCCAAATTTGCGCCACTGCACTCCAGCCTGGGTAACAAGAGCAAAACTCCCATCTCCAAAAAAAAAAAATCCGAAAAACAAAACAAAAAAGGCTAAGAGGCAGGGACCCAGGTGATTAGGCTCAGCTGGTCCCGCCCCGCCCACCAAAACACACACACAAAAAACAGCAATTGGAAACACTCTGGGTTGAGAGTTTCACAGCAAGCAGAGCTGAACCTGGGACGGTCCAGCTCTGAGGGGGAGGGGCGTCTGCCATTATCGAGGGAGGCAGTCTGCCATTGCTGAGGCAGCCCCCGCCACCGCCATTGCCAAGGCAACCTGCCATTACAGAGAGTCTGCCATTACAGAGGTGGGCCACCATTGCTGAGGCAGTTCTAACTACACTCATAAAAAAAGGACTGCAGGGAAGTTCACAGAGCAGCTGGGCAGAACCCACAGCAGCTCAGCAAAGCCTCTGCAGGCAGAAGTGACTAGGCTGCCTCCTTGCTGGGCAGGGCAGCCCTGAAAAAAAACGCAGCAGCACAACAGAAACTCATAAATGCCAGACATAGGTGAAGGGGAGGAAGGCAGCAAATCACACTGCCATGTGTGTACCTATGCAACAATCTTGCATGTTCTTCACATGTACCCCAAAACCTAAAATGCAATTTAAAAAAAAAAATCCAACTTAAAAGTGTGCAAAATATCTATATTTCTCCAGAGGACAAATGGCCAATACACACATGAAAGCCATTTAACATCATTAGACATAAGAAAAATGCAAATCAAAACCACAATGAAATACCACTTCATACCCACTAGGATGGCTATAATCAAGAAGTCAGAGAATAACAAACACTGGAGAGAATAGGGAGTAACTGGAACTCTCATACACTGCTGGTGGGAATATAAATTGGTGCAGCTGGTTTGGAAAAAGTCTGGCAGCACCTCAAATGTTAAACATAGAGTTACCATATGACCCATCAATTCTACTCCTAGTTACATACCCAAAAGAAGTGAAAGCGTATGTCCACACAAAAACTTATACACGGATGTTCATACCAGCATTTCCTAATAGCCAAAAAGTGGAAAATAAGCCAAATAAATGTCCATCAACTGATGAATGGACAAATTCAATGTCCTGTATCCATACACTGGGATATTATTTGCCAGTAAAAGAGACAAAGCATTGACACATTACTGGTACAACATGAATGGAGTCTGAAAACATTATGCTAGTCAATTAAGTCAGGAACAAAGAACCACATGTCTGGAATAGGCAAGTCTATTGGGACTAGGTAGATCAGGTTACCTAGGGATGGGGGAAGTCAGGGGATTACTGCTAAGGAGTGTGAGATTTTTGGCGGGATATAAAAATGTTCCAGGCTGGGCACGCTGGCTCACACTTACAATCCTAACACTTTAGAAGGCCAAGCAAGGTGGGAGGATCACTTGAGCTCAGGAGTTCGAGACCAACCTGGGCAACATAGTGAGACCTCATCTCTATTATCTAAAAAAAGAAAATGTTCTAAAATTGATTATAATAGTTGTCCAGTTTGGTGAATACACTAAAAGCTGCCAAATTGTAAACTTAAAATGGGTGAAATATATATGAATTGTATCTCAATAAAGCTATTAACCATTTATGCCTGAGGTTGCAATTTTTTTTAATTTTTGCAGTCAGACCTTGGCAATGACCTTGAGCAGTAGGATCTAAATAACTCTATGTTTAGTGTTCCATTACTGGAACACTAGGCATAAATGAGCTAACAGTTACATTTTTCTTCTTGAATTTTTCTTTTACCATTTAACATATATAAAAATTTAAAAATCAAATCATTCTGAGAGAAAAAAAAAAAAAATTCCTAAGTGGAACATATTCAAAACAATGTAATCCCAACTCAGAATGCATTTCCAAGGAAAAGTCCCAGGTATGCTGGGTCCCATCATGCAGCAGTGATGGAGTGAGCAGTTGCTTTGTGAAACGACCACATTACAACATCCTGAGAGGTGTGTCAATAATATCAACAGATGCAATTACAGCTTTTCTTTGCCATTGCTTAACCCATTGGCAAAGATAACACACAATAATCATCAAAGTTACTACAGCATTATCCTAAAAATAAAACATGTTTTAATGTACATAATTTTTTTTTTTTTTGAGACAGAGTCTCACTCTGTTGCCCAGGCTGGAGTGCAGTGGTGACGATCTCTGCTCACTGCAAACTCCACCGCTGGGGTTCAAGCAATTTTCCTGCCTCAGCCTCCTGAGTAGCTAGGATTACAGGTGTGTACCACCATGCCTAGCTAATTTTTGCATTTTTAGTAGAAATGTGGTTTCACCATGTGGGTCAGGCTGGTCTCCAACTCTTGACTTCAGGTGATCCACCTGCCCTAGCCTCCCAAAATGCTGGGATTACAGGTGTGAGCCACCACACCTTGCCTAATATACGTAATTTTATAAAAATATGTATGTATGTAAAATATCTAATCTCTTATGTCCAGTGCTACCAGTTCTCATGATTACAAATGCTGAAATCATTCATATTTCCTTTGATTAAATGGATTTAAAACATTTGCTAACACAAATACCTTAAAACTCCAGTTATAGGCTTCTTTTTTCATCTTGATACTTTGAAGCGACAATGTTCATTGTGTCTTGAATAGAAAAATATAGTTACTTTGAGCAATCTGAAATAAAACTAAGTTTCTTGATGATCTGTGGGCTTGAAAAGTTGCCTGGGAATTAGATTATTCAGTCTCAGATTCTGAAGTCTGGAAGACACTTGTGGAGATTCTCCTACCTGTTAAAACAATTAAAATAATAAAGTTAATTTTGTAAAAATATAGTCAGTCTACCCTATTCCCTCTGCTTCAGAAAAAGAAATAATGCACTTTTCCCAACCCTTGAAAGACTTGAGCAACCAAAGCAATCGGCTGTCAGCTCCTTGAAGGATCACATCTGCTTTACTCATAATGCTTTGTGGTATCTCCAGCACCCAGCTCTGGGTCTGGCATCTAGAAATGACTATGTACTGAATAAGTACATGTGTCTAACTTCTAAAGGTGTAGATGGGGCCCACTACATAGCAGCCCAGTTCAAAATTAAAATGATAGCCCCTGGTTCCAACTTAAGAATTTTAAGATGGTGATTACAGGACATTTTTTATTTTTAAGTGTGGGGCCCTTCTAAGCCCAGAGTCCTGGAGCACTGCCCACATTGCCTGCCCATGATCTCTGCATGTGTAAAATGAAACATTGCAATGCCAGAGTCATATTCTTCGTGTTACTGATGCTTCCAAAGCAGAACTCAGTGGGCTAGTGTGGTCATGATGAAGTTTCACCACCATAAAAAAATGAGAAAAGTAAGCACAACTCAATTTTAGGAATAAGGTCTTTCTTTGGAATTGTCTCTCTTTTCTGCTCATGTCAAAAGCCTTATTCTAGGACCTCTGCAAGATACGACAGGTTTAATTTCAGAAAAACGTGTTTTTCTGAGATGGAAATTCCATCAAGGAGTTGATCTGTGGTACAGAATGGAACTTATAATCAGCAGGGATTCTACTCTCTGAGAGAGGGGAAAAACGGAATTTTCCCCTCCACCCTTGACTATGTCCACTTTAATCACTTTTCCCACAAAACCTGTCCCTCAGCCTCTCTTACCAATCTGGTTAATGATGCCTGGATCCACCCACCTGTATGCCTGAGCCGAAGCCTAGGAGTGATCCTCAGACCCAACCCCACCTATATCCAACTGGTCACTAAGTCCCATCCGCTCTATCCTTAGCATCTCTTCTCCATCCCCACTGCTACTACCTAACATTAGAGCCTCTTCATTTTATCCAGGCCAATGAAATAATCTTTTAGCTGGGAAGTCATTCCCTACTCTTTCCCTAACCATCATCATCCATTAAACCTCAGTCAACTTCACCTTCATAAATTTCAATTCACAGGGCACTTAAAATGCTTCTACTGTTCTCCATTGTAATCAGAAGAACGTACGACCTCTCCAGAAGACCCCGTGTCCATCCTCCTGCCTTTTCCTGTTTGCAGCCCATCCTCTCAGTGCACCCTGTGCTCCAGCCATGCTGTTCTTCTCCTGTTGTCTCCTAATGTGCCAGGACTCTACACACTGTGTCCTATGTCAGACTGACTCTTAGGGAACCTTTTTCCTGTGCCATATCCATTTAGGGATGGAAGATATAAGTATTCCCCACTTACAACTCAGCCTGGTTCTGGCAAGTGACACCAGCCCTTTCTCCCCTGAGTTCCTTCTGTGGCCCCTTTTTACCTTTCAGCCTTGGAAATTTAAAGACTCAACCAAACATGTCTGTTGCCAGTACTTAAAGCTTAATTCTTAGGCTTCCGTTGGAACTACATTTGAAAATGACTTATAATGCCACTTTTTTTTTTTTTGAGATGGAGTTTTGTTCTTGTTACCCAGGCTGGAGTGCAATGGCGTGATCTCGGCTCACCACAACCTCCGTCTCCTGGGTTCAAGCAATTCTCCTGCCTCAGCCTCCCGAGTAGCTGGGACTACAGGCGTGCGTCACCATGCCCAGCTAATTTTTGTATTTTTAGTAGAGACGGGGTTTCACCATGTTGATCAAGATGGTCTTGATCTCTTGACCTTGTGATCCACTTGTGGTCGGCCTTCCAAAGTGCTGGGATTACAAGCGTGAGCCACCGCGCCCGGCTCACTTTTTTTAACACAAAATCCATTACCCATATTGGATCCTCTAACTCATCATACCAGAAAACAAATGCCACTGGGTTATTTCCTAAACCCAGAAGAGGTCTCAATAGAAGTTTGCTTCCCTTATAAACATTCAAAAGGATCTTTTACTGCCTTGAAAGTGATTCCAAAATGAATTGTCAAAGTAAAGGGGGACACTACAAGAATAAAAGTATGACTTTCAGTATAACCTGAAAGAACAATACTCAGAAGGTCTGATTTTTTTAAAAGTTTCATCACCATATATTCATGACTCATATTTTGATCACTATTTTTGAGGCATTACCATGTTATCAGCAATTGTACCAAAGGTTCTAGCAGATCAAAAGTGATACACTGTCCTTAAGAAGCTTTATTTACAGAGTTAAACAAGTTTACTGCAAGTGCAGTACAGAAGAGGTGTTCAGAGAAAGACAGGAGTTCTGAGAAGTTCAGGAGTTCAGAGAAAGACAAGCCTTCAGGAACAACATGGAAACTGAGCTGGATTCTAATAATAAGAGAGAGGATGGGACGAGGTGATCAGCTTTGAATTACTTTATCTTCCCTCTGCTGTATATACCCAACAACGTACTACACCCATTCCTTCTGGTTGCAATGGAAGAAGGGTCCTCTGTCCCTAATCCTGTCTCAGGGTAACCCCTCTACTTCTCTTGGTTTTTCCCATCTTACCCACTTCAGGACTCCCAATTCTGCAATTAAACCTCTTTCTCTGAATCATGAATTTCTCGTTCTCCATTGGACCATTCTAGCAGCACACTAAGATGCCTTTATATACTCATCCAAAGTAAACCAATACAGTTTTCCTTGACCACAGTCCTCTATTCAGATACAATCATCTTTGTTTCTTTTTTCAGCAGCCCTCTTCAAAACCTGCCTCCACTGCTTACTCCACACTTTTGGCTCCCATTTTCTCACCAGGCCTCTCAGTTCAGGCTTTTGTCCCCTCCCCACAACGCTGGTTTTCCTTCTATCACACTCACACTCCTTTTTAGTTCCTCCTCCTCTGCAGGATCTCTAAAAGCTGGGAATACCCCAGAATTCTGTCATCAGGCCTTCTCCTCTATCTGCAGTCTCTCCTGAAATTAACTCAACTAGTCATTTCAATATCACTACACGGCAACGACTCCCACGTGGACCTTTCCTACCCTATTTCCTGCTGAGGCTCTAAACTCCTCTACCAACCACTGACTCACTCAACAAGTCCATGTACATTTCCAATTAGCACCTTAAACAGCATGCCACAAGAGAATGCTTCATTTCCCCAAATGAGTTCTCACGTCTTTCCCATCTCAGGAACCGGCACTGCTATTCTCCAAACTGCTTTAGCCAGAAATCCAGGAATCATCCTGGATTACTTTCCTTTACCTCGTCACATCTAATCAGCAAACCATACAGACTCCATCTCCAAAATGCATCCAGACTCCAAACACGTATCACCAACCCCGCTCTTTCACTGGGCTCTCCCCAGGATGACTTCCTAATGGTCCCTTTGCTTCCCCTTCACTTTCCACAGCTCCCTCTCCATGGGAGCCAGAGGGATTATTCGTTTGTTTGTTTGTTTGTTTGTTTTTGAGACAGAGTCTCATTCTGTCGCCCAGGCTGGAGTGCAGGGCACAATCACGGCTCACCACAGCCTCGACCTCCTGGGGTCAGATGATCCTCCCACCTCAGTCTTCTGAGTGGCTAAGACAACAGGTACCCCACTACCATCCCCAGCTAATTATTTTTTGCATTTTTGGTAGGGATGAGGTTTTGTCAGGTTGCCCAGGCTGGTCTTGAACTCCTGGGCTCAAGTTATCTGCCTGCCCTGGCCTCCCAAAGTGCTAGGATTACAGGTGTGAGCCACCACACCTGGCCTTTTTTTTTTTTTTTTTTTGAGACAGGGTCTTGGTCTGTCACCCATGCTGGAATGGGATGTCACAATCACAGCTCTCCAGAGCCTGGAACTCCTGGGATGAAGCAATCCTCCTACCTTAGCTTCCTGAGTAGCTGGGACTATAGATACGTGCTACCACATTCAGCTAATTTTTTACTATTTTTGTAAAGATGGAGTCTCACTATATTGCCCAGGTTGGTCTCAAACTCCTGGGCTCAAGCAATCCTCCTGCCTGGCTCCCGAAAGTGCTGGAATTTAAAGTGTGAGCCACCACACCCAGAAGGTTGTGGTTTTGTTTTTGTTTTTCAGACAGGCTCTTGCTCTGTCCCCCAGGCTGGAGTACAGTGGTGCAATCACAGCTCACTGCAGCCTCAACCTCTCAGTCTTAAGTGATCCTCCCACATCAGCCTCCTGAGTAGCTGGGACTATACGTGCATGCCAACATGCCCAGCTAATTTTTCTATTTTTAGTAGAGATGGGAGTTCACCCTATTACCCAGGCTGGTCTCAAACTCCTAGGCTCAGGCAATCCTCTCACTTTGGCCTCCCAAAGTGCTGGAATTACAGATATGAGCCACTATGCCTGGCTGGGACTATGTTTAAGCAGACATTAGATGATATCACACCACTGCTTCCAGCCCTCCAATGAATTCCCATTGCAAGCAGAATAAAATCCCAACTCTTTTCCGTGGTCCTGCCCATCTCTCCAACACCAACACCTGCACCGTCTTCCTTGCTCACTAGCCACATTCGCCTGCCTTCCTCTGTTTGTTGTTCTTGTTGTTGTTTTGAGATGGAGTTTCACTCTTGTTGCCCAGCTGGAGTGCAAAGGCACGATCTCGGCTCACTGCAACCTCTGCCTCCAGGTTTAAGCAGTTCTCCTGCCTCAGCCTCCTGAGTAGCTGGGATTATAGATGCCTATCACCACACCCAGCTAATTTTTTGTATTTTTAGTAGAGATGGGGTTTCACCATGTTGGCCAGGCTGGTCTTGAACTCCTAACCTCAGGTAATCCTGACCTCAGGTGATCCACCTGCCTTGGCCTCCCAAAGTGCTGGGATTACAGGCATGAGCCACTGGGCCCAGCCAACCTGCCTTCCTCTTTGAATAAAATCATTCCCTTTCCAGGCCTTACATTATCTACATCCTCAGAGGCCACCCTGCTGGCTCCTTGGTAACATTCAGTGCTCAGCTCACATGTCACCTTTTTAGGGAGGCATGACCTGGTCAAAGTAGCACCTCCTGCCCGCCGTACCCCCTGCCATTCCCTGTGTCATTGCCTTGTTTTTCATTTTCATACACTCTTGATCTGAAATTTGATTTTCTCTTATATTTATTGCTTATGCTGGACTGTAATATCCATGAAGCCAGGCACTGCTGTGCTTTCCTCCCTAACATTTAGATCAGTGACTGGCAGTTATTTTTAATTTTTCAAATTTTTTGCTAAAATGTTTTTTTCAAATGCTGAATGAGAAGAGACAGAAAAGGGCATTCAAGATGAGTGACACAGCAAGAGTCAAAAGGAAGATGAAAATGATTCATTTTAGAGCTGAAGATACTAGCTTGATAAAAGCAGAAAAAGATTAGTGAGAAATGAAATGATGTCGAGAAAACTGGAATCAAACTGAGAAAGGTCTCAAATGCCAAGCTAAATAGTCTAGAATTTATGTTGTAGGGACTTGGGAGCCACTGAAGCTTTTGAACAAAGGTGTGAATCTTAGCGGACACCTGAAGCCTTGGATAGTACCAGACCCAAAAGTATTGGGTTTTCTTATACATGCATACCTATAATAAAGGTTAATTTATAAATCAGGAACAGTAAAAGATTAGCAACAATAACATACAAAATAAAGCAATTAAGCAAAATAAGGGTGACTTGACATAAGCACTGCAATACTGAGACAGTCACACCAATAACTAAGATGGTGGCAAGTGACTAATGGGTGGCGAGCAGAACCACAGGAAAGTGGGGAACTGCTGTATTATGAGAATGAGAATAAGAAAGGGGAGGGCAGCCAGGTCCCCAATCATCCAAGAAGAGGGTAGAGTGAAAGCAAGCTGAGTTCACGGTGACTCTAAGACTTTAAGCCATGTAACGGAAGATGGTGATGGAAACGGGAAAACTGGAAGAGACAGTAAGATGCTGGGCTGTGATTCCAGAAAGTCATTCTCTGGGAACAAAGGCACAGCTTAGGCAGTTGGTTCATTAACTCCTCTTCAGTGCCACAGCACTCAGCGAATCACCATGTTACTAACATAGCCGGCTGTCTCCACCATGACAATCAGTGTGAGAGTAAGAACTGTCACTTTCTTACCTCGCACTACTGATGCCTGGAATGCTACTACAGTCAAAACTTCATCAGCTGGGCCGGGCACGGTGGCTCACGCCTGTAATCCTAGCACTTTGTGAGGCCGAGGTGGGTGGATCACCTGAGGTCAGGAGTTCAAGACCAGCCTGGCCACCATGGTGAGATCCCATCTTTAAAATAAAAAAAAATAAAAAAAAAAACTAAAAAATTAAAAAATATATATATATATATATATGGGGCCCACCACCTACTGACCCACGTATCGGCCCGGCCTTCCAGTACACCATATCTGGCTCCTCCAGCGTCACCACTATGAAGAAAGTGGTTCAACAGCTCTGGCTGGAGACCGGGCTCAACTACGTAGAAGTTTCCCAGGCAGCTGCAGACTTGAAACAGTTCTGTCTGCAGAATGCTCAACATAATCCTCTGCTGACTGGAGTATCAAGTACAAATCCCTTCAGACCCCAGAAAGTCTGTTCCTTTTTGTAGTAAAATGAATCTTTCAAAGGTTTCCCAAACCACTTCTTATGATCCAGTGAATATTCAAGAGCGCTCCATTTGAAGCCTGTACAAAAGCTTATCCCTGCAACACTTGTGCCATAATATACAAACTTCTACTTGTGTCAGTCCTTAACATCTACCTCTCTGAATTTTCATGAATTTCTATTTCCCTAGGGTAATTATTTTATAAACACTGGCAGCAGCATACAATAAAACTTAGTATGAAAGGTTAAAAAAAAAAAAAAAAGAAAAACTTCGTCAGCTGAATCACGAATCTCTGATGCCAGAGAGATGGCTGAAACTGAGAATGCGTCATTTCCCAAAGTAAAAAAGAACTGAGCTTTGGGAGATGCCTTTAGTTAGAGGCTGGGAAGGAAAAAGGAGTGAGGAAATTAACGGGAGATGAGACAGTGAGATGAGATAAGGGAAATTTGACAGAAATGAGACAAACAGTTGCTTTTAAGTCCAAGAGCACAATGCAACACTAATAAAAGCACACAGTCATTTATAAGCACAGTGAGGCTAGCAATATTTAAATAAAACTTGAGCACATGTAAACATCACTCCTACCATAAGAATTTTGTTTGGACTTTCAGCATCATTCACACCACAGGTTCTTTTGGATGCTCTTGATTTTGATAAACCATCATCTGTATCCACTCCGTCAGGTGAAGATAATTGCCATCTTTCAGCAAAGGTGAGTGTCCTCTCATCAAGTGAAGAGGCCTCACTCCAGGTGACATCATTTGTCACAGCGTGGTCTGTAACTACAGGGAGTAGAGATGCTGACGGTGTGCTGGGTCCTCCACTGTCTCCAGAGCTCTTCCGTGGGGACTGAAAATCTACTGGAGGTGTGCCGTTTAAGGAGAGCTTATTTTGCAAGAAATGTTTCAAACGAGTTTTTCTAGGAAAACTCTTTCTCATAATGGCATTCCGGAGCTGAGACTCCTCCGCAATCACATACACTCGGCAGCGGCCCCTGGTCACTGCAGTGTAGACATGCTGCCAGTGCTGCCGGCCTGCCTTCCCCACCACATAGACGACTGTTTGCTCCTCGGACCCCTAGGAGGAAAAACATAGTGTGAAGACTTAACTCTATAAAATAGGTTCAGACAGTTTACAGACAAGAAAAGGAAACAAGTCCTCAAAGTGCTCTCAGCACTTCTACCTGGCCAGACTGTTATTACACGTCCATCTGATGGGTTCCACTTTGATTCATCCTCCAAGAACTCTAAACTTGCTGATAAACGTGTTGCTGAGTTCAGGTTTCACAGTCCACAACTGGCTTGTAGAAATCTAGCAGCAAACTTTAAAGACTGCATGCAGTACTAAATCTTTCCTAATATAAGACTGAAATAATGGTACAGGCTTCATATGTGAATGTGTTAACCCATTATTACAGATAATGGCAAAATATGAAAACTTTGAGTAGCCAGTAATAGGTGAATAGACATTTTATATATATATTAATATATGTATATAAAATATTACATATAATGATAAAATATAGAAAATTTAATTAGCAAGTAATAGGTGAATATATATAATACATATAATTTATACACACGACATACTATTTTGCAAACATCAAAGATACTTTAAAACAAAATTTAAAAAACCATATATATATGGGTTTTATTCTATATATATATATATATTCTAGAGAGAGACAGAGAGAAAGAGAGAGAGAGAATGGTCACAACTATATAGCAATATAGTTACTATCATCCAAAACAAGTATATAGAAAAGAACATAGCTATGTACAATGAAACAAAACAAATCACAAAAATGGAGAGAAGTTCTACCAAAATTTTAATTAATGTCTCCAAATGGAGGGCCTATGGATGATTTTTTTCTCCCTCTTGTCTGTATTTTTCCATTGCTGGACAATTTATTTCTTTTATTAAGATAAACAAAAAAGAAGACAATGAACCTTCATCCTTTAAGCTTAACAAACCAAGAAGTGGATAGGCAAGAACATTACTCAATGTCACCAAGTAACCGTAAGAAAACAATTTCCAAGTTTGGGGGCTATTCTTAGACCTATATTCTGAGATCAGCATACCCAGTGCCAGCACAGACAAAGAAGTGGCTTGTACCATTTTCTCCCCCATTGCTCCTACAGTGCTCCTGCCAAAGGAAGACTTGCGGGAAGGCAACTGACAAGATGGGGCACGTAAAAAATACACATCCACTGCGAAAAACTCTTGCGCAGCAAGCTCTTCCATCTCGCTAGACAGAGAGTTTGAAGCAACTCCTCAGATTGTAAAAGTTTGAGAAATACATCTTTCCAATGCTGCTGGGTCTCAGAAATTGACATAAATGGTACTGGATTACATACATTTCCACAGATACACGGCACCACTCTTCCCCTTGGACTTTATATTGTGCATTCTCAAATACGAGAATGTCTACCTAAACTGAGCTAACCAAGTTCTTAATCAAGTAACACTGAGAAAAACGTAATAGTAGATATACTACTATTAATACTTAATACTCTCATTATCAGTCTCTCTGTACCTTCTCTTGCCCAATTCATCATCCTCAGGGCAGCCACAGTGATATATGTAAAATGCAAATCCAATCATAACAGATGCTGCTTAAAACCTCTAATGGCTCGCAGGGACTCCACATGAAGTCCTAAGCTCTTAATGTGTTTGTAAAGCCCTTCAAGAGCCAGCTTGGCCCTGCTCCTCTCCCTCCTTTATTCCCTTTCTTTTCCATGAACCATGCTCCACACAGCACAAGGAGCTTGCATGTGGTCCTGTCATCATTACTCAGTCCATGGCCTCCATCTGGCCCATGTCTGGAGTAGCCACCCCATCAATTACTCTCTGGCACCCTGTACTTCCTCTATCATAGCTGTACTAACCCTAAGCTCCGTGAAGGCAGAGCTTCACCTCTATCCCACTCACTGTTTTTTCTGCAGTGCCTTGCTGAATGAATGATGATAAAAATTAAAATGTGATGCTGCAGGAGTCAAAGGTCTGCTGACCCTGGAATTCTACACCCCAAGATGGTACCTAAATCTACCTCAGAAAGCAAGACATAGACACCTAACTTCACCTTGATAATCTGCTATAAATAATTTCCCCATTGCTCTAAATCTCCCTTGAATCATCAGAGCTGTCAAACTTCCTAAGGAGGCAAATTTCCTGTATTTACTTTTAATTATGTATACGTCTATTCTACAAATTGGTTCTACAAGTCAACAACTTGTATGAATAGCCACAAATCTTCAACAGCTCCCATTTCACTCAGAGTAAAAGCCAAAGTCTTTAAAATAGTCTAGAATAGCACTGTCCAATATAAACATAAAACAAGCCATATATGTAGCTTCAAATATTCTAGTCGCCTTAAAAAATAGGTAGAATTAATGTAAATAATATACCTGTATTTTACTTAAGCTAACAAACCCAAAATGTTATCATTTTAACATATAATCAACATTAAATTATTAATAAAAGACTATATCTTTGAAATTCTATATTTTGTACATCCAGAGCAGTTCAATTTGGATGCTAAATTTTCACCAGAAATACTTAATCTATTTCTAGAGTTCATAAAATTTGTAGTTGAAAAAGAAGATTCACATACCCAAGTTGTTCCATACTTTTTCTAACATTAGAGAAGTTTTCCAATGACTGTATCTAGTAACCTTTTTGTGCTTGTTTTTGTTTTTGAGACAGGATATCACTCTGTCACTGTGCTGGAGTGCAGTGGCGCAGTCTCAGCTCACTGCAGCCTCCACCTCCCAGGCTCTGATGATACTCTCACCTCAGCCTCCCAAGTGGCTGGGACTATGGGTGCATGCCACCATGCCTGGCTAACGTTTTGTATTTTTTGTAGAGATGGGTTTCACTGTTGCTCAGGCTGGTCTTGAACTCCTCTCAAATGACCTGCCCACCTGAGCCTCCCAAAGTACTGAATTACAGGTGTGAGCCACTATGCCCAGCCTAGTACCCAGTTTTTAAATTAAAATTCAGTTTTTCAGTCACTCTAACTATATTTCCAGTGCTCAACAGCTACAGGTGGCTATTGGTGACTATCCAGTATGACAGTCAAGGCTTTCAAATGTTCTAGGAGGTAACTTGGCCCCACCATCCTCCTGCCCTCTTTACCTCATAGTAATTTTCCTATCTCATTTCCCATCAGTCTCCTACAGTGGCCTCCTTGCTATTCCTGCTCCTCAACTATACCAGACAGACTCTCACCTTAGAACCCTGCCCTTGACTATTCCTCAACCTAGAAGGCTCCTGTCCCAGGTATTCACATAGTTAACTTCTTTTCCTTCTTCAGGTCTTTGGATAAAATGTTATCTTCTCAATCAACATTCTATTTGAAATCACAATTGCACCCACTCCCACCTCTTTTCTACAGCACTTGCCACCTTCTAACATCACAGTTTTTGTTCTTGTTTTTATTTTCCTTATTTTTATAATGGTGTCTGTTTCTATCACCTTCCCCACCAAATGTAAGCCTCGCACTGGCAAGAATCTTTGTTTCATGGACTGACCTATACCAAACACCAAGAACAGAGTCTGACTCAATAAATATTTGTCGAAATGAATTGAACTTGGAAGAAACAGTGTGTTGATATAACAATCATGAATGTTCTAAGAGCTAAGTGATGCTACTTCAACCATGAAGTAAGAACCAGAAAGATATCTACTCCAATTTCAAGCCAGTAATAATAAAGACCCCTTTACTCTTCATTTGTTCTGACAGAAAAACTGGGTTATAAATTTAAGGAAGACTGCTGGGAAGACGGCTGCCTAAGAACAGCTCAGGACTTCAGCTCCCAGTGAAAGTGCAGAGGGTGAGTGGACGCCACATTTCCAGATGAATTTTTATTGCCCACAGACCAGGAGATTCCCAGGCAGAGGGGTTGCCAGCACCGCTGTTCCGGCGGTGCGGCTGTTATGGCCCCCGGGGGGCTGATTTGGCCCACGCGGCTGCTTTGACCATGCCCTGGTGTGGCAGTTCTCCGTACAAAAGTCACTGGTCTGGGAGCCCTCTTAGCTGGCGACTGGAGCCCTGAGATGGCACAGTTGCCCATTCATCTGAAATAGCAAGCCAGGCCAGGAGATTCCTAGGCAAAAAAACTGCCAGGAGCCTCGGCACCGCTGTTTGAGCCGACTCAGTGAGTTGCAGCACGGGAGATCCCGGGACCTTTTCAACAAGCGACTGGAACGCGGGGTCGTTCAACTTAAAAAACAAAAAAAGACTGAGTCACGGAGCCAGGCGATCAGGCTCGGTTGGTCCCCCCCACCCCCCCCACCCCCACAACAACAACAACAATGACAACAAAAACAGTTATTGAAAACGCTCTGCGTTGAGCGTTTCACAGCAAGCACAGCTGAACCCGGGATGGTCCGGCTCTGTAGGGGAGGGGCGTCTGCCACTACTGAGACTCTCCAACACTACGGAGGTAGGCTGCCATTGCCGAGGCAACCTGCCACTACAGAGAGAGTCTGCCATAACAGAGGCGGGGCCACCATTGCCGAGGCAGTTCTAACTACGCCCATATAAACAGGACTGCAGGGAAGATCACACGGCAGCTGGGCGGAGCCCACAGCAGCTCAGCAAAGCCTCTGCAGGCAGACAGTGACTAGGTGGGCTCTTAGCTGGGCAGGGGAGCCCTGAAAGAAAAAACAAAAAGGGCAGCAGCACAACGGAAACTCATAAAGCCCCAACTCCCCGGGACAGAGCACCTGGGAACAAAAAGCGCTTTATGAGTTCAGCTGCAGCAGACCCAAACGTACCTGCCCAGCAGCTCTGAATGAACAAGGGAGCTCACAGCTCAGGACTCAAGCCCCAATAAAAGATAGACTGTCTCCTCAAGTAGCTCCCTGACCCCCACAGATCCAAAGAGTCACCTCATAAAGGAGAGAACGGACTGACAGTTGGCGAGCATCCTTCTGGGACAAAGACAGCAGGAAGAGGAAACTGGTAGCAACCCTTACTGTTCTGCAGCTGCTGCAGGTGATCCCCAGGCAAGCAGGGCCTGGAGTGGACCTCAGCAGTCCTACAGCAGAGGGGCCAGACTGATAGAAGGAAA